TCTAGCGTAATTTGGGGAAAGGGTGGCCGCACCTCATTAGAAAGGGCTTGTAATACCCTATTCAATTCTGCTTAGTTTTTAAAATTCGATCTATTCGTTTGGAACATTATGATTAACTAAAATATCAACAATAGGTTTGACGAAAAAATCAAAAATCGACCGTACTATTGAAAAAAATTGTTTTTTTCGACTGAACAATTATTTGGTTCTGGCTTCACTTTTCAATATGCTACGTAGTTACTAGATGTAATGTGGTCGAGGTATCGCAAAAAGGTATAACCAATTATTGAGTATTTTTTTCGATATGAAAACCGGTTCGGGAAGCTGTTTAACCAACGACACCTTGACAACCATGCTTCTTCTGCATACACTGATCATTTTCATGTTTTCATAGGTTTTAAGAATGTTCTAAAAAAGTGTGTTCAATTCAAATACCAAATTTCAACAGGTTGGCGATTATTTAATATTGCTACCTATATTTCTTTCAGTTCAAAATTTGTTCTCATTAAACCTTTTAAACATGCAAAAAAAGTTAAAGTGTTAAGTATCTTTATACGTCAAATCGATACATTACTTATCACGAAGTAAAATTAAAGGTCTTTAATGCAAATTTTAATCCAAAAATTTTAAAATTCCATAATGAAAACATCTATCTAATCTATTGTTTTATGGGTAACTCTGTAGGATTTTAGCAAAGCGATATGCAGTACATATATGGCGGTATACTAGGCCCTCTGCTACAAAGCAACGGATCATTGAAGAGTACGAATCGAATTATGCAGTTTTACGGGGAAGATTTGATATTTTGAGTGGACACCTCTTAAAATCCAATACTGGCAAACCGAAAGTTTTATGCTTGGAACTAATACCCAAATAGTACATGCTAAAGCCTCTTTTCCAATTATTATTATCTAATAACTTGGTTGTTCCAATAATCGATAAGTGCAAGAGTCTTGGTTCCAATTTAGACTCCATACTGCGTTTTAAAGACCATATTACCAATAAAATCGTGATAGAGTACTCATTTTTATCACAGTCACTGCTGTTCGTCCTAAAACTATGCTCTGTGGCTCTTAAATCCTCTCGCAGTGCACCCCCACTGGGATACGATCGATGTTTGGACGCAACTGAGAAAAAAATGATACAAAATTGATACTTGAGATTGACATATTATGGGATTCGAAGTTTTTTTTACAAGATTGCAAAATTTAGGATTTCGTTATAGCTCTTCTGAAGGATATCCTCTAGCCGTCACCTTCAAAGCAAAATTTAGGATCGCATTGCAACGTCTTCGGGTAAGCACGGTCCTCGTCATATGTTTGTTATCACGATTTTTCTAAAATAGCTTAATATACAGGGTGTTTTCTAATTGAACATCAATAAATAAGGCGGCGATTTTTGGGTCCATTTCAAAAAGAAAACTTCATATGAATATATGTCGTAAACGTCTTTTCAAAAATATTTTTTTTAATATCTGTAATACCACTTTAGATATTTTAATGAAATTTGGCACACGTGTACTGCGTATCAAGAGGCATTATTTAGTGTACCAAAAGTTTTTTAAAATGGCGAGCGTATGGAATTTCACGTCTATTTTGGCAGACATTTAATTTCTGGATTTTTTTCAATCCGATGTATGGTTTTCGTTTAAAAAAATAAAAACCTCTTTTCTGGATGATTAAAACAATATTGTTGGTGTGACAGCAACTAACCAAAATAATATTTCCTTTAAAAAAATAATGACATTTGCATTCATTTATTAGCAGATTTATTTCCTTGAATTCTGTTTAGTCCGTAGCACGGTTTTCACTTAAAAATAAAAACTAAGAGGAGGTTTTTATTTAATTTTTTGAAGGAAAAACCGTATAGTGGTGTATTTTAAAAAAATTATGTGTATGTGTGTATGCCAAGGTTCATTTCCTTAAAATATCTAAAGCGGTATTAGAAATATTAAAAAATATATATATTTTTGAAAAGTTTAGGATATATGTTCATATGAAGTTTTCTTTTTAAATATGGCCCCAAAAATTGCCCTCTTAATTTATGACATTCGATTAGAAAACACCCTGTATAATTATATATAGTTTGCTTTCTTGTCCTGTTATATTCTAGGTCTAGGCTTCAACCACTTTTAACTTCTTTAACTTCAAGCAAAATTACCCGGGAAGCTGAACTTCGCATTGCCGTGCAGATAATTTTTATTATGCCTTTTGTAATGTTTCTTCTGCTCAGGTAATAACTGTATAATTCTTATTATTATAAGGCTCCCTATACTTGCTGCAGCACCAATACGTCAAAAACGAGCATTCTCGCGTAAAATGCGGATCCAAACGATTTAACAGTTTTTACTCGAAAACGTCGCCACGGCGGGACCACGAGCATCAAATTTCGGTTCCACGGTCACCTTCTGTCACGCGGCCGCATCCATAACTCTCGCGATTTTTGCAAGAGCGCGTGACGCACGGAGAGGGGGGCGGCGGGGTGGAGGTGGGGAAATCGACATTTCGAAACGCTTTCACGTCCATAGTCGCATCTCGGACGTGCACTGCAGACATGATTTTCACATTTGCGAGAGGCGAGAACGAAAGAGAGAGATAAAAAAAAAACGAAAATAAGCAACGCGCGGGAGAAAAACGCAGAGCGCCGCGTTTCCGAAGTTCTCGGCACGTCTCTGGCACACCTGCGGTGGTATTTATCATTCCGCGGCCTTTGGGTATGGCGTGTTGCTCAAACACGCCCTCGGGGAACAAGTTTTTCGTTGTTTTGGTGCTGATGCATTAATCGAACGCTGCTGCTGCCGTAAAGGACGACTCCTAAACTGATATGGACCTCAACAACATTTTAAAACATCACGTTTTCCGTATGTTAAAAATAACATAGTTAAATACACAATTCCAGTTGCTATGTAAAACAAAAAGGCACTCTCATACATCATGCAGAGCGAGCATTCCTACAAAACACGCCTGACGCTATTCGGGAAAAAAATATTCTTGTGCCTCAAGGGCTAGTTTGGAAAACAGACGGGTCCAAAACACATCTAGGAACAGAAGCTGGAATATATAAATGCAGATATCTCGCCTCTACTCTTGGGCACATTGAAAAAGACTGAGGAATATAATTCTGTCAAGGTAACTAAATTTTAACTTTTTGTGAAGTAAGTTTGAAGGTTATACAAGATTTTGTATCAATATGTAGATTAAGCTCTTCCGTTTCTAATCTGCAATATTATTTTAAAACAGCGCAGATAAAGTTACCAATCAGTTCCATTTTCTCTTCACTACTTAATAACACTACCACATTTATGGATAAAAGGAGATTGTAAATCTCGCGCATGCGCATATTGAATGTTCTTTCTCAAAATTTCATTCATAGTTACTTGATAAGACCCTTTAATATCAGCATGAGGCAAAGCCTCTATATCTCTAGTAACTATATGGGTAAAATGCGAGATTAATTACTTTTCAGTGCATCCTAGATTGCAAATAACTACGGTCGAATTTACATTTTTATTGTACTTTGAAATACATTTCAGAAATTAATAATTTTCGCATATTCGAATGTAGATTACAGTTTTGGTTAACTTTTAACATTTTTCAATATTGTCAAATCTTAAGGTACTTTACTTTTAGGTAAAGCTTTACATTTTTTGACAAACCTCGTATACTACTGGAAAACATATATATATATATATATATATATATATATATATATATATATATATATATATATATATATATATATATATATATATATATATATATATATATATATATATATATATATATATATATATATATATATATATATAACACTTCGAAGTGTTTTCGGAGCGCGAGCATTGAAGATGCCAAGTGAGATTTTGGCGAAACGTCTGCAGGATTCCAGTCGGATGCAAGATTTGCAGGATTCCAGTCGGATGCAGGATTCCAGTCGGAGTTCAACGAGCGAACGGATGATATCCCGGAATATAGTGTCATCACATTTTTCCATCCGTGAATCAATACGTGAGAATATATATATATATATATATATATATATATATATATATATATATATATATATATATATATATATATATATATATATATATATATATATATATATATATATATATATATATATATATATATATATATATATATATATATATATATATATATATATATATATATATATATATATATATATATATATATGATGACTGCATTCTAAATTTACGAACATGCAGAACTTTTTATGAAGAATAATTTTTTTCTAAAAATTAATAATAAAAAAGTTTCCCTTATTGTTCCAGCTTAATGTATGATGATTGAAACATCGCCTGTAGGAATTGCAACAATATATGATGATATGCGTGTGTCAGCTAATGAAAAAACGAATACCGATCGATTATTAATAATAAAATTAGTTATGAAAAATGAATTGAAAGTCACTTACATGCTGATAAAACGGTAAGTTTTTGGAGAGAAGCGGCATGGCTTAGAACTTTTCATGCAGATATGAAAAATAAAATGGTAAAAATAAAAAAAAGCAAATTAAACAGTCAATACAAAATATTTTAGCGAAATTGCACTACAATCGACGGGATTTTTGACAATAGTAAAACAGCTACTGTGACTACTAATCACAACCAATTTTTATTTATACAAATATTTGTTTTTTCCTTTTATTCGTCAAGGTTGAAATGTATATAAAACGCTTAAGTAGTTCTTCGGATTAGGTTATTAAATGGTAGAAATCGATGTCAGAAAAGTGCCTCTACAAATTCAAATTTGGAAATCCGAAACTTTTAAAAATAAAAATAAAAATGTTCAAGAATGTCAAGAGAATTATAATATCGTTTATGTATTAAAATATCACAGCATTTATTTTACTTAATCTGTTGATTTCGCAATTCTTGTATAATTAATTTTTTTTCACTAGTTTCAGGCAGTTAATATTAAAACGATTTAACTAGATTTCCTGATTTAAACCATAATTAGATGTTAGTTTAATGTTGTTAGTTGTTAGTGTTAGTGTTAGTTGTTAGTTTAATGACAAGGAAAGTAAATTATTTTCCATTTTGGGCAATTTGTGGAGTTTCTCCTTTTTTTTTTTTTTTTTAGATAGAAAATTGCGCGACACTGTGCTACTACTATGTGAAATTAAAGATGCCGCCAACAAAATTCAATTTATCCAAAAAATCCAAAATTATCGATTTTGGAACCACCCTCGTATCTCCGTTGTCTTTTAAGAGTTTAAAACCGCTGTTATAGGAATTTTTCTGTAGACTCCAGTGGCGTAGGTTGTTTTTTATTTGCTCTAACCATATATTAGTTATAAAGCAAACATATATTTTTTTAAACGTATAGTATTTTTTCCATCAATTGGAAATCATTTAAGCTTTTCAGAAATATATATTAGTATAAAGTTGTTTGAAAATTAAGCTCAAATTTTAATTAAACAGTAGGCTCTGATTAATCTATTAAAAACAATATCCAAGTAAACAATTATTACCATACAAGAAACTCAATATTTTTTATTTTATTTAAATGTGTTTTATACCTTATCAACTACTATTTATAATAATTTTCTCCTTAATATAGTTCATTATTACTCGTTCTCCTCGTGCCAAATAAACTGGTGGCTTAAAAAGATTACCAAACATGTTGCAGACTATCCTTTTTCTATGACCGTTAGTTTTAGGGTATATTTTTGCAAAACAACACAAATGATGAGCGTCAGAATTGACAAACGTCAAAACATCCCATGATGATTTAGAAAATGCCTTGGCGACGTATAGGAGCGGTAACAGCAAATGGCATAATTAAAAAAATGGGTAAATGCATCATTTTGGGTGAAAATGTGGAGCAAGAGCTAGTAGATTATATTTTAGCTATGGAAGAATGCCTGTTTGCTTTAACAGTAACAGACGTTCGAAAACTAGCGTTTGAAATAGCGTCTAGACATAGCATCCTTAATAATTTTAATCAAGAAAAAAGGACGGCTGGAAAGAAATGATATTATTCCCTCATGGCGACGCATGAAGATATTCAATGTTGATGAAACTGGGTGCTCGACGGTACAAAGGAAATGTCAGAGAGTGTCTGCCCTCAACAGACGGTATGATAAGGTGCTTGCAACTGGCGCTCCTCCAGGCAGCTTTATCACTTAAGGGACACTGGGTACATTACTTCAGATTTGTTTGTTTCTTGGCTTCACCATTTTATACGCTGTGTCAAACCTAGTCGCGAGCATCCAGTTTTATTGCTTCTTGCTGGACACAGCACCCACAGCAAAAACCTCGAGGCACTAAAAATTGCACGTGCTAATGGAATAAAACAACTCCAACTACCTAGCCACACAACTCATCGTTTACAACCTCTCGGTGTGGGATTTTTCAGATCTTTTCCGAAGAACTACAGTCAGTGTATCGAACAGTGGCTTAGAAGTAACGTGAGCTGCACTGTAAGCATGTTTCAGGTGAGCGCCTTAATAGGAGAAGCCTATGGATTAGCAGCAACTGTAAGAAAGTCTGTTGACGCTTTTCGGGGGCAAACGTTTAACGTTAACTCATCGGTTAAAGCTGATTCATCTAGTGAAAACGATAATCCACTCGCTCTTCTGAAGAAACGGACAAGAACAACGGAAGTCTCTAATTCTTCTTTAGATGTTTCCAACTTGGAAATTTTTCCTTTGCCACTAAGCAAAGAAATAATTTCTAAAAGAGTGGCAAGAAAGCAAGTAGCATTAACCAGTTCTCCCTACAAAAACGATTTAGAAGAATAAAGAGCGGGCCTATCAAAAACCAAAACGACATTCAAGCGAAACTTAGGATTGACAGGACAAAGAGACATGATTCGCTTTCTAAAATGTAAAGTGTGGCATCATGCCAAATGTGCAAAACGTCTCTCAGAAAGTGAAAAAACATGTTTGTACTAACTGCGTTTAAAGTTAAAAGTGTTTTTAAATAACGTTAAAAATATTTAATGTGATTATATTCCATATCTCTTGTATTTTTTTAAGTTTTTTATATTCAGTCCAATTTAGGACACACCCGGTTCAATATACGAAACCGGTTTCTTAAAGTGAACTTTTAAACAAATTTTATTTTTGCAGAAAATATATGATTTATAATTTATTTTTTATTTAATATTGCGTTTTCTTTTTGGTAATACATATAATTGGTATAATATTCTGGTATATTTACATTTGCTTAAAATTGTGCTGATTAAAAAGAAAAAAGAAAAATTGAGAGCTGGTCGAAATTAGGCTCCATTACCCTAATATAAACAAAACATTTCCATAATATAGAAATTATACTAAATATATCCATTAAAAACCTTACCTGTGGTAATAAAATTATGTAGCTTCTTGGGTATTTTCAATGCATTGTATAAGATATACCAGCATTATATTTTCAGAATTTTTATACAATGCTATTATTATAGAAAATTAATTCAAATGAAATAAACACAGAAAGAACAAATGGAGAGTTAATAAAAATATAATTAAAAACAAAGTGTCGTAAGTTTTTCATACATTGGCTCCTTTGTTTTTAATATATGATATATAACATAATATTTATCATATTAATAAGACATTATCGTTTTTAAAATAGTATGTTATGCAACAAGTGCGGTAAACGGCATTTGACTCACGCGTTTTTAATAAACGAGTGAGTTAGAAAGTTTACCGAACGTGTTGCATACTATACTTTTTCAACGACCGTTAGTTTTGGGTCGATTTTCGCACAACACGAATACATTCACTGACATGACCGTCAGAATTGACAAACGTCAAAATTCAAAGTGTGGGAAATATCTCCGAAAACATCCTATTGCTCCCAAATCCGTGCGGTAAAATCCCGGAAATGTCCGAAGTGGCTCGGATTCATGGGAAACGAAACTGACGTGGTAAAGTGACGCTTCCCGCACGCTAGATCGGTGGGTAATTGGGTATTTTACAGATGGGAGTAGAAAAAAATATATTTTCATCCTGTTTTTTCGAAAATAAGTAAGATTTTTGTATAGTAAAAACTGCGTAACGGCTTAAATGCATTTTATTTTAATTTATTTAGTTGATTTAATATGGCCTAATGCTACAAATAAAGTAAAAATTAAAAAAAAAAGAATTTTGAGCTTAAATTTCAAAACAACTTTATACTAATATATATTTTAGAAAAGAAAAAATAATATACAGGGTGTTCCATTTCCAAAAATATATGTTTGCTTCATAACTAAAGAATGGTTAGAGGCCACTGGATTCTACAGAAAAAAAACCTATATAAAACGTTTTTTTTAGCCCTGCAATAACTCATAAGACAACAGAGATGTGGGGGTGGTTCCAAAATCGATAGTTTTGGACTTCACCCTGTATCTCAAAAACCAAAAGGGCCATGATAATTTTGTTGACGGCATCTTTAAATTCACCAAAAAGTAACATAGTGTCGCGTAGAGGGAGAGATACCCCGTAAAGGTGTCCAAATGTAGATGAAAAGGCTTACAGATTTCACTAAATGCACTACGAACTTTAAAATCTAACCCAGAACACCTCCTGGACCTGTAAAGTTTTGGGCTTGTTCTACTATTAAGGAGTGACCAAGGTTATTATATAAGGTTGTTCGGAAAGTCATTTCGTTTTTTCCCGTCAGAAGACTTAATTACGTTTTTTCGAAACCAACTTCACACTTAAGCCGCATAACCATTATATGTCTTGAGAGCTGATATTGCAAGGCTTGTGTGTGAAAAAGTTCTATTAATTCTACGCAGTAGTTTTTGGTTGGTGCCCTTTTAAATATGGAGAGCAATAAGCAGCATTTTCGTCATATTTTACTTTTTTACTTCAGAAAAGGTAAAAATGCTGTCCAAGCGAGAAAAAAATTGACGGATGTGTATGGAGAAGGCGTGTTAACAGTACGCCAGTGCCAGAACTGGTTTGCAAATTTTCGATCCGGCAATTTTGATGTCGAAGATGCACCACGGTCTGGAAGGCCGGTCGAAGCTGACAAAGATGCGATAAAGGCATTAGTTGATGCAAATCGGCGAATAACCACACGAGAGATCGGTGAGAGATTAAATTTGTCGAATTCGACTGTTTATGGTCATTTGAAAGGCATGGGCTTAACCTCGAAGCTCGATGTGTGGGTGCCCCATGTCCTTACGGAACGAAATTTGTGTCGTCGCGTTGACGTGTGTGATTCGCTCCTCAAACGTCAAGAAAATGTTCCATTTTTGAAGCGGATTATTACTGGGGACGAAAAATGGGTTGTATACAACAATGTTAAACGCAAGAGGTCATGGAGCGGAAAAGATGAACCGGCTCAAAGCGTGTCAAAAGCCAACATTCACCAAAAAAAGGTGATGCTCTCCGTTTGGTGGGATGTCAAAGGAATCGTTTTTTTTTTGAGCTTTTGCCGGACAATACAACGATTAATTCAGAAGTCTATTGTCATCAACTGGACAAATTGAATGATTCACTTAAAGAGAAGAGGCCCGAATTAATCAACAGGAAGGGTGTAGTGTTCCACCAGGATAATGCGAGACCTCACACAAGTTTGGTCACTCGCCAAAAACTTTTACAGCTTGAATGGGACGTACTGCAACATCCACCATATTCTCCAGATCTGGCGCCTTCCGACTACTATTTGTTGAACCAGTTTTTTGCCAGCAAGGACTAAAACTTTTACGAGAGGGGAATTATGTTACTACCAGAAAGATGGCAAAAGGTGTTGGACCAGAATTGCCAATATATAATTTAATAAAATATTTATTCATTATACGAAAACTGTCTTTCATGTTCCCCAAAAAAAACGAAATGACTTTCCGAACAACTCAATACAAAATATAAAACGAACAGGTCAATTTTTGACAGCATTGCGAGTATTCCAAAATGTCTATATACGTAAAAGCCAAATAAGAAGTAAAAGAATTTAAAGATAAAATAAAGTTGAGGCGATAGCTTAAAAATAATTCCGTTATTCGACTACGACAACGTAGAATGTGGCACGTAAAAAGCGTTAATTGGAATTACCGCTGCAACGAACTAACCGAACTGTACAGTTATCTAATTTATCAGATTGTGTTTGCTATTTATCTTCGTTTTATCTCGGCTGCGATTTTGAGTTCGAATTTAACGCCTCGTTATTGCGAGTAGTTGCTTGATTCTCTTCATGCTAAACCAAATGCAAAAAATAACATTTTCTTTTAGAAAACGCCACGTTTACAAGCAAAAATGTTAATTAAATTATAACATTGCGTAAACCGAGAAATAGTCAAATTAAAGAGTGGGACGTATTTTTTGAAAACAGAACAAAATAACATTCTTAACATCACAATTTCGATTGTCAATTTGCGTAGTTATGGCACAAATGAACATTTGTTATCTAAGGATTGTTTAGGTTGTAGAAATTCAAATTCCAAATGTTAACAACGTTGATAATAAAAATAATTTATCGCAATAATACCATATAAAAGGATCTTCGAATGAACATTTTCCGCAGACCATGTAACAAAGTGGTACTTCTACCCGATAAACCGACTTCTTTTGCAGGGCCGCAGATAAAAGCCGAAAATTTTAATAATACGATCTACAAGTGATAGTTTGACACATGAAGGACACTTTTATCTAAAATCTGTTCAGTTGTTTTCATAGATTCGAGTGATACAATGGCAATAAGAACGTTGTGAAAAACAATGAATATACATCGTAGGCACTTTAATCATAGCCTCCACTGTTATCTGAAATAAATAAGAATCGAAAAACAAGACAAACGAAAATCGCCATCTATGGAGAACTTCCCAGCTTATTCTAAGCGGACGTACATGAAATCATGTTCTGTTTAAGAATGCACGTAGGAAGGCGACTCACACGGATAAATATTAAACTTACAGATAGATAACCCGCCATAGATTGAAGGCGTTCAAATCGTGTCAATGCTCCTCCAAACCGTAGCCAATATTGGCTATTCCCGCCAATCGGCAACAATTTGTCACATTTCCAAATTTACGACGAAATGGATGAAACTCATTGTACTTTCGCTGCAGGGCTGCGGGGTCCGATTTAAAAGGGGCGTTGTGAATCAAATTAAGAATTCTTGCGATAATCGAAACGCTACTTTTCACGAAAAACTGATAATTGTCGGGAATCTACCAAATGAAAGGGTCTGGTGAAACAGTACGCAATTTTCCTCGTGCCCGTCCGCGTCGGATCAATTACTCGAAATTAGGTAAATTGCAAGAAATGCTAATTTAATATTGTTGCATCACGAACCCAACCGCTGTTATACATAAAATTTGCATACATATGTGCTATGTAATTGATCGATGAGAGCGCGTAAACAAATCACTACTTGACAGTGACGACGAGAAAAAAAAACACGGATCGATTAGATTGCCACGGGCATTTTTTCAATTTACAACTCAATAATAGCTATAACAAAACAATTAATATCAATCATAAATAACCGTTTTTAAATTAAAAATGTCAAGGAACCAAAAACAAGAAAAACTGCCTTTTACTTTTTACAAAACTTCTGGATTCCTCCTGCGTCGGTTCTTGCTGAGTCGAACTTGCAAAAGTTTCGCCAATCATCCCGTTGACTTCTTCAGAGCTTCACTGAAACTGGCTCGCATTTTACTCTGTACCTGTTATATATTGTTTAAGGGGGGCGGAGCAAAATGAGGGGCACAAACGCCGTCCCGGATGACAGGTGAAGGCCCGAGTCGCAGTTAAGATGGTTAGGTTGTTTATAGATTTCTATAGACTCTTGGTTTTTTCGTTGGTATAAGAATTGATTACATGCAAGAATTTTCGTTTTATCGAATAAAATTTTATGTCCGGATTATGTTCGGCAACTGCTGATTCGTTTATTTGTCTTAGTTTTAAGGCTTTTTGATGTTCTTTGAGCCTAGTTCATATTTTTCATTCGGTCTCTCCAATGTAATCTTTGCCGCATATGCATTGAATGGTGTAAACTCCTGGCATCTCAAATGGAATTTTGTCTTTGACGGATCAAAGATGTTGAGAGATTTTTGGACAAGTGGTGAATCTGGTTTTAACGTAATATTTCTTTAGAACTTTTGGTATGTGGTCAGTGATGTTTTGAATGTAAGAGAGGAGCACAGTGGCAAATGTAGGATTGCTTTCGGCCTCATTGCTATTGGAAGATTGTGGTGAAGTATATTTTGTGAGCAATATATAAGCAGGTACAGAGTAAAATGCGAGCTGGTTTCAGTCAAGCTCTGAAGAAGCCAACAGGATGATTGGCGAAATGTTAGCAAGTTCCACTCAGCAAAAACCGACGCAGGAGGAATCCAGAAGTTTTGTAAAAAGTATTACAGTAGCCTGCGGAAGTTTCTTTAAAAAATTAACTTCCTTTCAGTTTTATTTAATATCATTTGATACATGGATTAAGACTGTTACAGCCAATAAAATCGCCATGTACATACAACGAAGTGAAGTAAACTAGACGCGTTAAAAAAGGCGACGCGAAATATAGGAGAGTGAAATAGAACACAAGAAAGCATCGTCGGATATTTTATAAAAAGTGATATTGGCAAAAAGTCTTCGTACATTCAAAGATCCAGGTTTCAATTAGAACTAGCATTTCAGTTAATGTTATAGCAGCTCTAAAGCCAAGATCGAAGAAAAGACTTTGTACATACGGTCCAAGTTATAGTTATAAGACTTATCAATCAGAATATTCTAGAAAACAGCTAACTAACGAGCAACACAAAACATTAAAACAATGAAGTGATAGTTCGGAACTATTCGGAGCGATAACCCTATTACCGCGTCAAAATATTGATGCTACACCGTCCATCTACTATCGAATAGTGCACAAAAGTCCTTGACTGATTCTATCGATTTAAGAGCCTTTTAAGAGACTTTGAATTTTGTTAGGTGAACTACTCAAAGTGCTGTGTACACATTACCTAACATTTACTACCACACACCACTTAGTTATGTTGAACTAACCCACAGTCCAGACATCGTGCGTTCACTTTGTAATATCGGCAAGATCTCGAATAAAAATTAATTGAAGCAAACACGGCAAACGTGTGGGATATCAAATCATCCCACAAAATAGTTACATCCCAAACTTACTTTTCAAAGGTTTATTTTTCAACTACTCAAATTCTATCGATCACTTGTTTGACTGTTCCTAGCTACTCAAAAGGTTATGCTGATAATTGAATAGGTTGGTTCACCAATTCACCAATTTAGGGTGGTGCCTTCAACCAATTAAAAGATTCCCAAAACCCGGGAAAATATATTGCAAACTATAAACATAAATGAAAAGGATTTTCATTTATGTTTATAGAACCTCATAGAAATGAGTATACATTAAATGGGATATTTAAAAGAAGTCCCGTGAATAATTCTAATTATTTCTGGCAAAAGTTTACTTATACAGTGTACATTCTACAAATGTACAAAATAACAATAGAAGACGTTCCAATTTATTTATATAATGACCAATTGTTAAATTTAAATATTTACCGCAGTTACTATCATTTGCTTGAAGATGATAGACAATGATTCAGTACAAGGTTTTGGGCAGTTGTATAATTACGCGTTACCAAATGTAGATTTTTGTGGTGGAATGCAGTCTACATAAGATTTTAAATAAAATAAAAACAATGGAAATTCGACGATCTCAGTAATTCTAGTTACTACCATCGTCAATTTTAGTATTTATCAGTTTAGTATAATTATTTATATTTCACACACACACAAGGATCATACGATGACAATTTTATCTTTTTCGATTTCTTCTTTAGTTTAGTTAAGTTAATAATATTACATCATGAAAACAAATATAGTCACACCACAATTATGACTTTTTAAAATGCGATAGGCTGAGTCGCACCAGTACCAGGTCCAATGTAGACGGGAAGAAAACGAAATAAATTGTTAAAATTTGCTTCCATATACATACAAATTTTTTTTACTGAATCTTCACGCGTCTGACACGATTGTGAACTGGTTCATTTCGGACCAAGCCAGTCCGATCTAAGCGTATCCAATCAAGTCACCAAAATCGACAGTTTTCAAATAATGGTGTTGGTGCGAAACGTGCCATTATCATACGTCAATGCAGCGAACACTTACCCATGGCCGTTGGGAAACCTGGTGGTGCCAGGCGAAGAGGTAGAGTACGGGGAGGGCGTGTTGTTCTGCGGCGACGACGATATAGAGACGCCGGAGGCGGTGGCGGCGGCAGCGGCGACGCTGGCGGCGGTGGACGGAATGGCAGCAGGTTCGTAATACTCCGTATTTAACGTACGGTCGTCGATTTTCAGTTCGGCATTATGAGCCTTGGACGCACTTTTGATGTCCATGAACGCCACCGTGCACGCCATCGTGACCTCACCCGTCTTCTCCTCGGTGACCCTTGGCAATAACTTAACACTCTGCACTCGGCCATATCTGCAAATGAAACACTGAAATAAACGGTATGAAATTTGGAACAACTCACATGGTCGTTGTGTAAATATTAGGTATTGAAAAAAAAAGTAATTCCTCCATCTCTAAGTACGTAATCTTTATCGTTTCAAATGTGCTTTTGAGAATAGCTGTCTTAAACCAAAATTAGTATCATTAATGTTCCAATTGTAATCCCTAAATTCGTTGCCAAAAATTGAGGCACCTCTTTCAATAGAAATAGTGGTTCACCGCACTGCATTTTATTTGATTCCTGTAATTCATCTTTAACTAATCAATTGACTTGATTTGTTACGTAAGTTTCGTTCCATCTTTGGTTCTGGTTTTGGTTAGGATATTCAATACCAAAGACGGTCGTTTAAAATCCATTATGTAAACGACGTAAGCTGGTCGGTCTATAAAACTAATTTCTAGGGCCGGTTTTCATTTTGGTTCCGATTTTAAGTTGACATTTTTGGCAACTGACTGTTGTTATTTTATTGATTATTTCAAAAATATGCGTATTATATTATTACTAACACGATATTCATTTTTACAATTTCGTTTTGGCACATATAAAATATAACACTTGATAATACCGATTAAATGCAAGCAAGTGAGCAAAAGTTTGGTCAGTCAATTACAGGAAAAATGCATTGGTTGAGTTATAAATCCGTCAAAAATTTTGTCGAATATTTATCCAAGACCAGGGACCAAACGTGAAAGCAAAAAGCGTGTCCAAAAAATGTTTCCTATTTATTAATGATCAATACTAAAAAATAGCCAACCTCCATTAACTAGTAGGACTTCGGTGAACATTTTCCCGAAAATCATTCCCTACATTTACTCTCTCGTTAGTAAATGTCCTACATGTGGTAACTAGTAGGAATAGGTCATTATAAGGGGTGTTTTTTTTCGATGTATAGAACTCTAAGTTTGCAATAAAACAACGATGGATGGATTCGATTGACATGAATTTTATTTATCCGAAAGATAATCTTGTGGCATTACATTTTAAATATCATTTCTGGCATATGACCGCCACGATTGGCGCGGATGTAGTCCAATCTGGACGTCCAATTTTTGATGACTTTTTCCAACATTTGTGGCCGTATATCGGCAATAACACGGCGAATGTTATCTTCCAAATGGTCAAGCGTTTGTGGCTTATCCACATAGACCAATGACTTTACATAGCCCCACAGAAAGTAGTCTAACGGTGTTAAATCACAAGATCTTCGAGGTCAATTCACAGATCCAAAACGTGAAATTACGCGGTCACCAAACGTGTCTTTCAATAAATCGATTGTGGCACGAGCTGTGTGACATGTTGCGCCGTCTTGTTGAAACCACATCTCCTGGACATCATGGTTATTCAATTAAGGAATGAAAGAGTTAGTAATCATAGCTCTATACCGATCACCATTGACTGTAAAGTACGGACCAATGATTCCACCAGCCTTTAAAGCGCATCAAACAGTCAGTTTTTCTGGATGTAAAGGTGTTTCGACATACACTTGAGGATTAGCTTCGCTCCAAATGCGGCAGTTTTGTTTGTTGACGTAGCCATTCAACCAGAAGTGCGCTTCATCGCTAAACAAAATTCGCTTATGAAAATCGGGAACAACGGCAATCTCGTTTTGGGCCCATTCGACGAATCCACGACTTACTTGTTGATCGTAAACCAAGATTCTTCCGCAAAATCTTCCATAAAGTGGATGGACACAGATCCAATTCCTGTGCTCGATGGCGAATGGACTCATTCGTGTCTTCCTCAATGCTACGAAGCAATAGCTTCTTCTGGACGCACCGTACGGCGTCTCTGGGGATGCGAGTTATCAATAAGAGTAAACGTGGTGCGGAAACGTTCCATGGTTAATCGAATTAACTGCTCTGATGGACGATTTTGTCGACGATAAAATGGACGTAGTGCGCGATACGTATTCCGCACAGAACCATTATTTTCGAAATAAAATTACATTATTTGCAAGCGTTGTTCAGGCGTGAGTCTATTCATGATGAATTGCCAAACCCAACTGAGAATAAATCACTTGACAGCTGTTAAATCGGTCGCCATCTTGAACAGTAATGCCAACTTAAAGCTCTATACATCGAAAAAAAAACACCCATCATTACCTCAGGTTTGTTGCTTAAGCTTTCTAATTCCTATTGCTTCAGGCTTTTTATACTCAACTATCATACGAGTGAAAAGTGTTCTAATGAATGGGTATAAAAATTAAAAGTTCATTAACACACATATTTTCATAAACTGCCAGAAGCCCACGGATTGCGTTCACAAAACTCGTTTCAAAAAAATTAAATACTCGATATATTTGTAGGTAGCAATTTACGATGCAGTTTTCATTACACAGACAACGAATGTAAAAACACTGACGCGCCAAGATCGATCCGCATTACATTTTCAATAAAAACAACAATTTATTGTCTTTAAATGAAGAAGACTTGTAACCAATAACAACGGCGACCTCGAACCACGTTGTACCACAACGTTTTTTTTTTCTAGCGAGTACACCTCAATTTTATATCAAGACAATTTTCGCCGCTGTTTTTAAGTTCCCTGCGTTAAATTCGAATTAAATTACCATTAACGTTTAGATGAGACGAGTCCAAAGTACCTGCTGGTTCATGATAGAATTCGTCGGTAAGTTTAAGGGTATTTTCCAGACGCATCGCCACCGCATGGTATTAACTGGCGTGCTGATGATATTAAATCAAAACCAATTTTTCTATATAAATATCGCCTTTGTTCTCGCAGCGTATTCTCGAAACTGCGATAAGCAGTATCGTACCGTTGACCGTCGCGCGTATAGATAACGGACCAATACGAGAGCTGTGTCCCAATTAAAAATTGTTTTTTACGCAGACCATTGTTTCGCGCTTGATGCAAAAACAACTTATCGTTAAAAGACAAATTAGTATTAGTCACCGGCCACCGGCTGTATACGTGAAGAACCAGTTTTGGCGAATTACAACCACGCGGCTCAAACCTTGCGACTATTATTTAAAAAGTTTGGAATTTATATCCGCAAAGTGTGATGTAACACACTACCATGAATCGTCTTTTTTTCATGGTGGGCAGTTTGAAATTGCAGAAGACCTTCCGAATATGCCGATGATTTAACACAGAGGTAATTTAAAACAGGATTTAGTACGGCTGCTTCAAAAGAATAATAAAATAAATTCAGTTATTAGAATGAATAGAATATTTCACGAAGCTGTCGCAAGAGGAAGATTGCATTTGAAAGGTTTATTCACCCACAACCAACTCCCAGAATCGTAATTTCCTTCACGGCATATATATATATATATATATATATATATATATATATATATATATATATATATATATATATATATATATATATACTCAGTTGCTTGTTACTTGAAACAATTAGACAATTTACTTTTTACAAAACTTCTGAATTCCTCCTGCGTCGGTTTTTACTGAGTCGAACTTGCTGAATTAAAACATCTTACCTCTGCTCTTCTCTCTAATAATTTCCACATTAATGATATTAAGCGTTCCATCAAAAAATACCCTTCACCACAACCTTTCAATAGCAATGAGGCCGAAAGCAATCAAACATCAAAACATCACTGACCACAAACCAAAAGAAGTATACCTTCAAAACCAGTTTTACCACTTGTCCAAAAATCTCTCAACATCTTCGGTCCCTCAAAGACAAAATTCCATTTGTAATGCCAGGAGTTTACAGCATTCCATGCATATGCGGCAAAAAATACATTGGAGAGACCGGACGAAAAATATCAACTAGGCTCAAAGAACACGAAAGAGCCTGACGACTAAGACAAATAAACTCATCAGCTGTTGCCGAACACGCTCATGAAACCGGACATAAAATGTATTCGATAAAACTAAAATTCTTAAATGTCACCAATATGGGAATCAGTCATCTGAGACGGTGTTTATGCCCCTCATTTAGCTCCGCCCCCCTCAAACATTAGATAAGCAGGTACAGAGTAAAATACGAGCCAGTTTCAGTCAAGCTCTGAAGAAGCCAACAGGATGATTGGCGAAACGTCAGCAAGTTCTACTCAGCAAAAACCGACGCAGGAGGAATCGAGTAGTTTTGTAAAAAGTATTACAGTAGCCTGTGGACGTTTCTTTGAAAAATCATTAGACCATTTGTTTTTGCTTTAGGTTTACATTGTGTATTGGAAAGTGGTATGGAAATGACAATTCTTGTAATGTTCAAACTTCAGTTATCAGTAGCATAATCATACTGATTGACGACTACAAAATAAAGTAAATAAAAAAGAAACGATATGTTATATCGCCTAACCACACAAGATCAATTAAAACGTTGTGTGTCGATAAGCAAGAACTTATTTGGGCACTAACATTGTCTAGGATTGAATTTCGGGAAAATATTTCACCCATTCATTCATTTTGATAACAAGAACCCAAGACTGAGAGTTAATTTGTGTTACACCAAAATGTTTCATTTCTAAGTAGACATTGTTTTAATCTAAAACATAACGGTGTTAGTTTTAATGTGTGGAATAAACCATTTTCGTCCCTTTCACATTATAGAACATATTCGTTAGTAACGAGATGAAAACTTTTCTTGCTTGCCTACTTGTAGCTTGTTTTCTTTGCACAAATTTGTTTTAATTTAGCATATATAATTTGTCTCCTGAAAATTAAAATAAATTATTGACCAGTTTTACTGGTTATAGCAATTTACATCGTTTAACAGAACAAATTAATACATTTTCGGCCGGCTCTGAGGCAGTTGAGCTAATAGTTGTGAAACGTCTTAAGGTCCAAAAGTTGGCTTTCAGCCTCACCATGAACCCTGATACAAATCTTGACAACATACGGGTACCTGGAAACCATAAGAATTGTCGACGGTATCGCATGTGGGCTGTGAAGAGTATAGGAATCTCACGTCCATCAATAGGGGGCAGCCGATTTAGAATACTTACTACGAACCCAATTCATAGAGTCCGAAGATATATCCAAACTCGCTAGGGAAGAGTAGTGTACAATCGGTTTAACTAGAAGTAACCAACGCTATAATTTCTATTAATAAAAGCAACAAAACAACTCAAACTAAAACTAACGGAGCAATGAAAATCTTGGAGGAGTCAGATTTATTTGTTTTTCGTACTGATTTCTTACGATAACGAGTACATTCTTAGGTAATTCTAAGGAACCAATGTTGATTTTCTTATAATGTGGTAAATTTTTAGATTATTTTGAAGACAATTTCCATTGGGAACTACCCTCCAAGCTTTATTGGGCTAAAAGGATCATTACTCATTGATAAAATGCTTAGAAACCTGCGGCTAACATAGAAAAATAAAAATGTATAGCAGATCGGGACAAAAAAACCTTAAATTCTCAAATCCAGCATCGTGTGTTCGTGGACCTTATAGTTCCACCCCCGCCAACAACCTTCTCTTTTATACCGAAAAAAGAAGACCAGAGAATTTTTCCCTATAATAAAGGCGACCAGGTCATTCCAGCTGGGCAATCGATATTCCTATTTTCACTGCGCGGAAAGAAAACGGCAACGGTGGCCGAAGCGAGACAGAAAATAATGACGTGGGTCCCCATTATTTTCGAAATAACTCAGGTCTGCACGCGTCCCCACCCGTCGTGGCCCGTTCGGAATGCTAAAGTTGGCCGTGGCGACGACTGCGCAGAAGACGTTATATAAAAGCCTCGTCGAATCGAGCAGTTGAATCCATTATACATCGAGGTGTCTAGCTAGTAGGAGGCGAGCTCTCTGAGCATGTACGCACAATTTTCTTTGGAGTGAAGTGCTGTAGTGTTCAGAACATGTTATAATGCCGATAATTATGTCTTGTAAAACGTAAAAAACAATTGCTTTTTTGACTAATTATTCACGACGCATTAATTTGAAGTTGGGGCGTTGGCCGCACGTACGTTCAAACGCGCACACTTCAAGATGCGTAGTATGTCGTATTATTATTAGTGAATGTCGTTTTGCAAGTGCCGTGGTGCATCACAAAAAGGATAAATTTGATTCTATTAAATAATGATGGATTAACTTGACTATCCCGTAAGTTCGCAAACGCTCCCGGTTAGCCTGGAAACGGTTGCAAAAAAAAAACGATTTCAGTTCGAAGCTGAATTGATTTTCCCAAAGCGTTCCTCCGCGTCCCAGCTGCGTTCTGGGCTGGATCGGGCCAGGGTCTCTTCCGCGCCATTTAGCCTTCCCCCTCCCCCTCCCACGAGAATTTTGTCTGGCGACGTTGCCGTCTGCTCGGCGTGTATCAAGCACAGATAAGGAATAATTATTGCGACTGGGTGTAGCAGGTTAAACGTCGAGCAAAAGCTTTTAAAAACAATATCGAACTTTCTCGTCGTAAGAACTTTGGTTACAGTCCTTGGAATGCACCTGTTTTAATGGAAATGTTAGGGCTCTCATAGACTAAAACAGTATTTTCATCGTAAAAACCACTTTTTTCAGAAATTTATATTTTAAATAAATAAATTATTACTTTGAATTTTAATTTTGAACCTCTTTAATAAAATATTGTTACGTTTTTCGCTAATCTAAAGAAATTTAAACGAACATGATTTTGAATGAAAATAATCTAAAAAATAGGTTGAATTGAAAAATTCATTCATTCCTTTAGATACCGACGTTAAATGTACGTAAAACAAGGCACTCATGAAATCTACAAAACCAGTTTCAACATTAATTTAATTATAAAACAAGATGACATGTCTCGCTTAAAATGGCGTCATCACATATACAATAATCGTATGGATTAAATTTTTATTTGTATTGGTCTGATGATGCCATTTTAGACGAATAAAATGGGTGTAAAAAAAAATAATAAGTACATGCGTTAAGATTTATATTTGAAAAGTGCTTGTTAAGATTTGTCGCAAAAATTGACACCATCAAAAAATACGGCAATCCAAAAAAGGAAATGTGCAGTTTGTTAAACTTCGTAATAAAATCAGACAAAAAAAATATTATGCAACAAGTACGCGACGTAGTCAGCGGAGTGACTGAAGAAGTTTATTAATATACATAATTAGGCATATTTGGGTAGGGGGGAGAAAAACATTTTTCGCAATACAAATGCATAGTATCCATTTGAAACCAGTCAGGCAACGGTATAACGTGTATAATATTTGCAGACAAGCGCAGTCTATATGCAAAACGCGAAATCTACTTTTCTTGGGAGATTTCAGTTGCGTTCTTTTCTATTTTTGAAAAAGCACGTAGACATTTCAACCTACCACGTAAATTGTTCCATTTTTCGTCGAGTAGCTGTCGACGTAAAAGCGCTTGTGAATAGGGACGACGTCTCTACTCCGCACTGCAAAATCCAAATCGGTCCCGCCTAACCGAGACAGAGTTTCGATTGAGAAGTCGTTATTGACTTCGCCGTTTTTTTTTTTCTCACAACGAACGGAAGACTGCTTTTATTCGTTCTTCTCTCTCTCGATGGAGGAAGAAAATATGATGCCGGCTCCGTCGTCGCCGCGGAAAGCATGGTGGAACTTCGGATGGGTTGAAAGCGGGGTAATTTAGCTTAATGACGCAGCTTCTGGGGGAGAAGAAAGGGGAGATAATTGCGGGAGACTCTGCTTTATTATACGGTCGCCCGGTTTTTGATGTGAATCGAATTCCAAATTGCGAGTCGGGTTTTTGCGCAACGGAGATTTCGGATAGATTGTTTCGGATCTCTGTCGACGTACAATGGCGTTTTGGTTTTTATACACGAATGGAAACGACGTTCCCGGGGTGGATTTATTGGTCGTTAAAACGGATCAAGACGAACGGATGCAACTATAGAGAATCGCTCATGTTTTTTGAAAGTGTAATATAAACATCTTAAAGGGGTCGAAATTATAAAAGTCACTTTCCTATGTAACGTGTCTAAGCAGAAATGCTTTATTACGGAGGGACAGGGTGTCCCAAAATTCCAAGAAAAAAAACATATTTTAATGAAAATTTCAATGTTTTGTATACTTAACGCATTCTAATGGCGACATTGCTGTAAGTCCACCAAAAAAATTACAGTTTGTTACGAACTGGTACCTATAACCTAGGTAGTACGTCTTTTTCGCAATGAAAAACAACAGTCATGAAAATAACGTTAACCATCTTTTTGGTAATCACTTAGCACTAATTGAGTAACAATTTTCATCATAAGCGAAAAGGTGCTTATCGGTTTTTGTTTTAAAATTATCGTCGACTTGTATTTTTCTGTCACTTCTTTGTTATTCTGCGCGTTTTCTGAATTTCTGAAAAAACCACACGCGCTGTAGAAGGTGTAGAGCTGGTTGGTTCGAAAGTTTTAAAGTTCGTCACAACATAAACGTGGAAAAGATGCTGTGCTGAACTTGTTAGAGGATAAGTGGCCCAGTATTGCATAAAATTACAGCTCTAAGGATATTTTCAATGATGACGAGACTGGGCAATTTTACAAGATGACTCCAGATCGTACCCCTAAATTTAGAGAAAAAAAGGGTTTGAGTGGGAAGCAGTCGAAGTTGAGGCACACCGTTTGGTTTTGTGCAAATATGACAGGAAGCGAAAAATGCAAACTTCTTGTTGTTAGTAAATATGAACGACCGGGATGCATGAAAAATGTGTAAAATGTACCTGTCATTTATAAGTCATACCAGCGAGCGTGGATGATTTCAGAAATTTTTTATAATTATTCAAAGGATTGGGATGAAAAACTAAAACGTCAGAATAGAAAATTATTGCTTCTAGTTGACAATTTTGTACCTCATCCAAAATATGTAATATTAGATTAGAGTTTTTGCCTCCAAATAGCACCTCAGTCGTCCGACCGATGGATCAGGGCATCATAAAATGCATTAAGACATATTTGTATAGTTTAATCCAGTCATTTGAAAATAAGGAACCTTTTAACATCACTATCCTAGACTCCATAAAATTACTTGCACAATGTTGGAATGTTGTTAATTCAACCACTATTTCAAAATGCTTTCGACATGCGGGTCTGATAAAATCGGAAGATGAGTTTGATTCAGACGGCGACTTACCTCTGGTTCAGTGATTCGAGAAGTAAAAATATAATGACGACGATGACTAGGAGGTGCCCCAAAGTAATTGGCTGCTCAATAGCGGCCAACATCTAACCAACAATGAAAAGTATCTTCTTGAGCTGCATAGCTTCCCAACTGTTGATGATAATTTAATAACAACAGAGTTATTAACGGATAATGATATTATTACTGAAGTGTTACAGCCAAAAGATTCTCAAAGCTCTGGTAACGAAAGCGACGATGATGTTCAACAGGACGAAGTAACAAGTTATTCTGATATATGATATACTGATAATGTAACTGATGATATTATGGAAGCGTCGAGGAAGATTGAGAGCATATCGAGAATATGACATTTGTATTGAGAAAAAATAAACAAAAATAACGAATTTTTTAGTCAAAAGGAATAAAGTATGTATTTTTAGTTGTATGGTGTACATTTTTTATAGATAATTTTTTAGTTTAGACAGTTTTTTAGTACCTTTAGTGTTCATTAGTTTTCTAGTTTTATATAAAATAAAAATATGTACGTACCTACATTTTGGTGTTTTTTTATAGCTTATAGAGTACTCATTTTCTGGACCCTAGAGGGGTACTTTATAACCGAGGTTCACTGCAATTAAATTCTGAGGATAGTTATAAATATTTTGTTTTACCAAAATTATGTTATGATTTTTCAAAATTTTGACATACCGAACTGAAAAGGTTCGCCAACACTGACGTAGAGAGCCTAGTCAACGAAATGACCACGAATATAAAATATGATGTTACGTTCTATATATAATCAATCTTGAACGGTAATTCCATATAATATTCTCCCATTTATCCGATCAACATTTGTTTACAGACGGTATTCGCGGAAAATAATACGTTTCATGTGAATTACGCGTATAGTGCCGGGCTTCGATAACAATATTGCGACACAAAGATAAGATATATTGTGCCGAAAAAAAAACCACAACGAATCGCAACGAACAAAGTTCGAATTAAAGGAGGCACCGAAAACGACACCGAGCAGTGATTTTAAAAACTTCTCGCCCCATACGTACGTTCCGGTTGGAGCTTCTTTTGTTCTTTCTATTGTCGGATCAGACAAGCAAAAGACAATGTCGAAAGTTATTTTATTTCGTCAGGCTTCACGGTTTACGTGTTTTTCGTTGTTCTATATCTGTATCGTCCTTTCAGAAAACATTGGTCGTAATCACTGAGAAAAGTATATTCGTAAATAGGCATACATAAATCAGGGTACAATTGGTGCGTTGCAACTTGTTTGTTTACTGGTTTATTTGTCTCGTCTTTGGCGATTAAATCGGTATAAGTATGAAATCACACTTGCGTGTTTTGACTTAAAGCTATTTTTGTATCCTTCCAGAGCAAAATCTACCACGTGCACTGCTCCATAAACAAAATACAACCCATATTAGTCTAATTCAACACAAAATTTATAGTCATCCAGATTTCCGTATCGGTCTCTATAACTCCTCTGTCACGTTTTGACAATAATAATTTTATAACAGCACGTAGCAGGGCCATAAATCTTTGGAGACCATGTAGTTCGGCATACATGTTTTTTTATAGCTCCATTACATTCCCATATTTTATACCGCTAGATAAAACTTTACAAAACGCTTGACCATGATGTGCTTACGTCGACATTCAATAATAAGTTATTTTAGGCTCATATTTATTTTGATAATGTTACACTACCACGGAATTCGCATTACCGTTTACGCATTTGAAAATAAAAATTACCACGTAAGTAAAAGCTCATCAGCTTACAAGCAAGTACTGAAATGTGGGTAATTTTTATTCTAAACGTTTAATGAGGTACGAATATAAATTAAATGTCAACTCATAGTACAAGGTCGGAATTATATTCTAAATAGTGATGCAAGTGCTTTTAACAACAAAAAAATAATTATGATTATACCCCTAGTACCGAGGAGCATAATAAAATGACAAGCCTTATTATTATAAATAATTTTGTCAAACGACTTCCCTTCATTATATAGGCATAGGTAGCTAATCGATGTTGACTTCGAGAGATTGCATTTCGTGAACAATATTTACGCAATTATTTCTAGTTTTATCGAATTTGAAAACGCAATATCTGAAGTTTTCGATATAGGTGTTTGTTTAGAATGACTTTTCAATGGGCGCTATATCCAAGTATAAAACGAAAACAAGACGTACATATCAGTTTTTAAAACTGTTTGAAATTTGCTATTTTAAGATACATTTTTTACTCACTGACGTAATTAAAATTTAAAAAGTCACCGCATGACTATTTGAGACGTTGAGTTTAATGAGTCTTAACTTTTTGGAAATTATGGTTTGCTGGCAAGTTTTTCCTTTCAGCAGTGGCTATACATTATCCTTCATTAGGAATTCATTCGTTTCTACTGCATCACTAGCCGAAGGTAAAATTGTTCTTGAAAGTCCGCATGTCAACAAATGAACAGGAGATTTATCAGACACTGTTAAGTATCCGACGCTCGAGCAGGGCTAGTTGCAAATCAAGCAGTAGATTCTTAGCTATGTCGACAGTTGCTTCAACTAATCTGTTTATTTTTGGGTAATGAGAAGTCGACGTTTTGTACAAAATCCTCACATTCTTCGCACCATACTTCGAAAAATGTAGGGTTCGACTTATTACTTCATAGCTTTATTAATAATACGAATACGTTTACAACGCATGCACGTTTTCCATCAACATGGGCCATGATCAGCGCTCTTTTTCTAAGTTACTCATATTACACTTTGTTATAGTAACGTTTTGTTCTTTAGAAGATGCTGTTTTCAAAACTCCGACGTTTGATCCTCGTACCATTTATACCACCTTCCTTTATTTAAATATGGAAGTGGTATTCCATGCTATTTTTGTGTGGAATCAACTCAAAATAAATTGAAAATATAAATAAGTAACCGAGACAACAGTCCCGTTCCCGACAGACCCGTAAATAAAACGACTTTTAAAAATTCCACCCATTAACCAAACCGGCAATCTGGTTATCGAAAAACAAAAACAACTTTATCGGTTCGTAAATCTAAAGCGGTGGGTTCCTGCTATTTTGCCTCACAGCGAGCTCGTTCTCTCTACGGGTCGCATAAATTTGCAATTTATTTTTCTGTGCCCGTTTCCTCAGTTTGTTTTTTTCATCCTCTCGACGTGTCCGTATATCGTCGATTCGCCGGCTAGATATACCGGTCTTCGATGTGTTTTGTAGACCGGTTCGTGTTTTTACCGGAATAAATCAAAATCCCGACCGTGAAAACTGTTGGGTTTATTTTGGCTCGGAATCGGATGTACGTAGTTTGGCCCCAGTTCAAACCTTTTTATAACGAAATAGGTCAAAATCGTATTAAAAAGTGTACACTTTAAATTGCGCCTCCAATTTCGAAGGATACGAATTATATAAAACGTTTACGTCGGTGGGTTTTCGAATCACAAAATCTATAAACCCAAAAAAGTAGCGTTGCATAATACTCTCTTTTTATCGATTATAAACTAGTCTGTACTTGAAATTACTTTGAACGTTCCAACCAAACCATGCGAAATAAATGATTTGCGTTTAAAATCTAAAAACGAGACACTTTATTTACAATTTGTTAAATGAATGTGGTCTCTGTTTATCTGCTGTCACATATGTAATTTAAAAAAAAAACAGCTATTTCGCAGTATCCCTGGGCAATTTATTATTAGAAATATATCAAATAACAGAAAAACAGACCCCTCTACTAAATAACAATAGTAGGCATTACCATAAATGATAATAAAACTTCTATCAAAAATTTACATAATTTAATACATTCAAAATTATTAACCAAAACGATATAGTTCTGGCCAATGATAGATCAACACCTCAACACCTTACAAACCCGAAAGTCACTAGGCTATCTGAAAGATTTAATGCAGATAGTAATTCATATGAAATTCTAACGAAAACTAAACAAAAGCGTAATTCGTCATAAGAAATCTAATAACACATGCCGTACTAACAGCAAAATTGTTTTTCTTCAAATTCTAAATAAGCACACTCACTCTCATTATCTCACAGTTCCGAAAGACAGTTGAAACACGTACGTATACAGATTGAAAAAACTCTTTCCAACATCCACAAAGATGTTACTAGCAGCATTTTTGCTATAGACTTTATACTGAATATTATAACAGGCAAAGTCGCTCTTAAAAACAGGATCGCTCATTGTGAGAATTCCTTATTCGTCCAGCGTAACACCTACTGGAAAGAAAAAGGCTAATAAACCCATATGAATAATATTATTACGCACGAACTCGCTTAAGTAACAAACAATGGTTTTCCCGCCATTATAAATTATCGCTGGGAACTCCCTCCCACGGAATAAAAAAGAAATCTTAAACACAATCATTACGAAGGTACCACCCAGTTCTTGCACGCATTAACGAGTAGTCAAACGTCCAGTCACATGAAAACTTTACCAAAAGGTTATTTGGATAAAACTTTCCTACCGAATGGTTAGATAAACAGCGTATGTTGCGCGAGTAAGCAAACAAAAGAAAATCATTATTTTTCCAAGCTTCCTTACGTAACAATCGCATGTAACACAGAACCGTTACTAAAACAAACAAAAATAGTTTTCAAGAAGTATAATCCAAACGCCGCGCCCATAATTTACGACAGGTTCGACCGTTTCTCCATACATTTATTGTGAGCGGTGACGTCATTTGGGCGTGTGGCAACGCCGCGCGGTTGACCAAGTGTGCGGTGCCGAGGCCCCGCAGTTTCCGCGTTCGAGAATCGATCACTGCTTCACGAGAACCAATTGAAACAGGTCGTGTTTTGTTTTTTTGGGCCGCGTCTTCATTTCATAAATAGTTCCTGAGAATTCGTATAACAGACACCTATTTTATTTACTGCGTTTGTAAACAATAAAAAAAGTTGACACAGTAATACTTCTGACAAATACACTGCAAAGGTCTAAGTCCCGACAACCGACAAACTAAACCTACAGATTGACAAGCGCTCACAGAATATGTCTATTTTCTAGATGTAACGTAGAAGTGACGAATCCAATCGTAAACATAATGAAGGTCTTCATAGATATAAAAGTTCGCACACCTATACCGTATTTGTCAAATATGTGACAATATACTCCCCACTCACTCTGATTAACTATAAAAATTAAAAATAGTTGTTGATATATTGATGTTGACTAGTATATTATTATGGTTACCCTCATAGCCAGAGCTACTAAGCACTGATCTGAGGGTTTTATTAGATAAAAACCCCAAAAGAATTTTCCCTTGAACCAGCAATATCGTTCAATATCACTAAGTAATAAATTGGAGGAATTCACTCTTAAAACACACACTTCTCCGATCCATCACTACCTTTTCTGAGATAAGATAATAAAAAAACAAACACGGACTTTGGACTTTATGTGGCCTCCTTTTAATTATAATATAGTCTGCAAAGTTGGAAGGCGCGCATTGAAATTTTCGTCTTTTTCTCCCGCTTCGTTGCACCGGAATACCAACATTACATAAGAAAAGTGGGTACGTACATAAGAACTTAATGATTTGCATTACAAATCACACGCGCACTGCCCAACAAAGAGAAAAAAAAATGACGAAATCCGTTGAACCGTTTTCCATTTAGCCGCATGCCCACGCTTACGAAATCGAAAAAGCCGCTGGTCTTCCAAACACATTTACATAACACGTATTTTTACCTAATTATAATTAGAAGCCTATCGCGAAAATAAACGACGTTGCCCGCGCTCGGTGGGTATTCGATCGAAAAATCCATAACCGTTGAGTCAACAATCACCGAACCGAATCGAGGAAGTTAAAAAAAAGCACCGAGAGGACAAAAATATTGAATTAACAATTGAAACCCTAATACAGAAAGAAAACAACTTGGATAGACTCAGCCTACGTGACTTAGGTGAATGTTCGTTCGTCGAAGGAGAACACACGTAGGCTATGCCGCGGCGATGCCAAGTCGAGAGCGACATTGCCGGCTCGCCGACGACGTAGACGTTGCCGAGCCAGGTCAACCGGAAAGGTGTTTCGACATAACAACGAGGAGAAATTCGATTTGAAAAAACGTTGCGTGCCTTGCCTCCTGTGGATATAGGCGATTTTAAATTGATTACCCGCTAGTACTTAATGATCGATGTTTATGGCGGTGCGCAATAACTATTATGACTACTTAAACTTAAAACTTAAAAATTTATTTTCTTGGCTACATAATACGGGCAGCAATTTTCCGTACCTGGATTGTTAAAAGAATGGAAAGCGACTTGCTTGGTTAGATTACAAATAATGTGGATAATCTTCTGATATAGGAAAAATCCCACCGTGGTAAAATAAAGAGACATTCATCCATTTTTTTTTCCAAATTTATGTTCAACGTGCTTCATACGTCTTTCCGAACTTAATAAAGGCGAATAACGGCGGCAACATCGCAAAACACTTGCTCGGCGGACACGACGCGGCACTAATAATGGCCGCCGAGCTGACTCATCTATATCGACGGTACTGAAAACGTTCGGCCAGTGTTATTTTTGCTTCGAACTACGAATATCAAACCGAGTGGTGACGCTTACTCCGTTTCTCTCCAGTCGTCGAGAAGGATCGACGCTGGTCGGCTACAATAATAAGATTTGTATTTGTTTTGCGCTTTGCAATATCGCAGCAACTGTTTATTTTAGGTTGGTCGCATTGTGCGCAGTTGCGTAGTATAGTCTATTACGCGGTCAAAAAAATATCTACATTTACGCTCAGGCTCCTTGCGGGCCGTTCACGATTATTGAGAACTTGACTGACGTGGGCGAGTAGGAAAACCTGGTACATAAAACGTCGGGAAGTGTGATCTGGTTAGTTAGTCCCTTAGTAGTGTACAAGAAGCAAAGTGCAGACGTACTGGATTAAAATGTGTATAGGGCGAAGAGAGGACGCAATAAGTTTTAATTAGCGTCAGGCATTGGCGAGCCAATTTTTTAGATTTTTAAGTACAGTTTTACAACTGAAATGATTGAAACAACCTAATTTATTATTAGTGAAGTTTTAGGGTCAATTTGAAAGTGACTAATAGAGAAAAGTTGCATTGTTAAGAAATTAGGTACATATATGTATTTAAAAAATACGTTTTTGAAATCATATTTTTGTGTTTACTTGGGTGTGAAAATCTAATTGACTTTTGAGTTGACCTGCACGCTTGCAGTAAAAAATTGAAATAGTTTCATTATAGATGATTGGAAAATGAGGAACTGGTATATCACCCATTGATTAGTATCTAAATTCAAAATTTCCTGAGAATGGACTTCGAGGAAAGGAAGTAAGTGGAAATATTCAATTCTATGTTTCATCTATTAAGTTTTCCTCCCAATTTAAGAGTCAACGGGACGTTTTAACTATAGATATAGCAGAATTTGATTAATAGAATGCTGCATTACACGCGATCCCACAGCTACTTTTTCACCTGGCACTGACGTTTTTGTAGAGTAATTTAAAAACCATAATTTTCAACCCACGAGAAAACGAAATTTTGTCATATTTCTAGTCGTCGCGCACCGATACGGAAATTATTTTTGTTGCTACTACCGAACAAGTTGACAATAATAAATCGATAAAATAATTTTACACAGACATCCGCTGGTTGAATAATTTATGGTTTTAATAATAATCGTTGCCTGTAATCGATTAAAATGAAGGACGATGAGACTGGTACAACAACATACACCGTCTAAATGCACAATGGGAGGAAATTTTGTTAAAAATTATGTAAAACGTGGACATATATATTCAATAAGGTAGTATCATTAGTTTCTAGCTTAGTAGTAGCAGTAAAAATGGTTAAAGAGACGGTAATCAGACATATATATATATATATATATATATATATATATATATATATATATATATATATATATATATATATATATATATATATATATATATCAATATTTAATGAATAGCTGCTATATGAAAACACATTCTTGCGACTTAAGTCAGTCGAGGGGAAATATATTGTAGAAGATTTCCGCGTTGCGAAGTATTAATTCAAAAATATTTAGTCGGATGCCGCTGGAACAAATGAAAAAAAAACTATAATAACAAAAATGACCGACGTACAGACTTTTGTGATTTTTTTACGACATAACCCGGTATTTAACTTTTGAAAATTTTTACGATGATATAACCGCAGGTCTACCTAGCATGGGTTTCTCTTTGTAACACTCAATAAATAGATTCGCAATTCCACAAAGATGTTCCAGAACCCTACTTCGATACTTCGTGCATACAAATGCTGAAAGCTGACGGATTTGTGTAGAATTTCATCGGTGAGATTTCCCGATTATTACTACTCCATGCAGTGAAAAATCCATTCTTACTTTAAAATGTTTATTGTAAATATAAATGAATGAATATTTATTTAAAAAAAAAGTCCTTCTAAATAATCACTATCGTCATTGGACCCACATTAATAATTAACTGTGGCACTAGTCGACCTCTGTAAACATTTTCTTCGTCGATCACATGTTCTACACTTTTTTTCTAACTAGAAGCAAATATTTTTTCTTCAGTTCTAATTAATTCTATTGCCCCAGACCTAAATTTCTGCAAGGTGTTGTTTCTTCTTAAATCGGGTTTCACCTGCCTCCATATCAGTTCTATAGGATTAAAATTGCAGTGATATGGTGGAAGACTTTGACCGAATTGTCCATATCATACTTCTTATCAAACGTTTCCGTCTTAAGAACTTCCAATAACTACTTCTTTGAGTAGGAATTTTCAAGATACATATCATTTTCAAGCAAAAAATAGAAATAACTCCAAAGCTTCGGCGGCTAAGAAACTACTGGTTCATAAAACTGACAGCATGCTCCGATTTCACCAACCCCCACAAATCAACCAATAGCAAACTACGAAAAGATCCATTATAAGTTAATATGTCATTATATTAAACCCTTAAATTAGAAATCAGTTTAAGCTTTCTGATGTGTTTTTAATACAGGAGATCAACCTATCTATATCTAGCTACCTCAAGCAGGGACTATATATAAAGCACATATATATAAAGCACACTAATATGAATTCATACAACAGTTTAATTAAAGAAAATTTCCCTATTCTTAAAATACAACAGGCCGCACGGCACAGCTCTTGTCGGCTGACATCTTATATACCCTGGCTTGTGGTACACGTGCTGAAAAGAATGGTCCCTTCCGCTTTACAACAGGGAGACCTTAAACTCATTCCGAAGCCAAAACCATAAAAGTTTGTGAAAACGGTATATCTTTGGGCGAACTTTACTGGCGAATACCTAAAAAATTGCATTACCGCTCATCTGCGAAACCTACCGCCTGTAAATATCCAAAAACTTGATCCTACGTGCTCCGTTTTTTCCTCGCCGGATTTTTTTTATGCGGTTTCGTATAAATTACACCCAAGGCGGCGCATTGCATCATTTAGACGCCACCGCTCCCGCTAAAAACGTCGCGGCGCGCCCGCCATCTTGGTGATAAACGATGCGGGCCGGCGGAATTATATCCTCCCTCATCCCCCAGCAGCCCGTTTACGGGGCGCGCGAACGATAAATGGCTTTGCCGGGATATGGAGATATTGGCCTCGCTTCGCTGCCTAGGTGGGTAAGGTATGTCCCCGTTTCTCACACAGGGCGATTTATAAGTTTGGACAACTATTTTTAAATCACTTTTATCAAAAATATGAAACAACATAAATATGAAATAACAAAATCATACAAACGTAGGCCCGCAAATGCTTAATTTTCAAAATACGGGGTTGTTGAATTAAAAAAAACACGTTTTTTACAATATTTGTAAAATATGATATGTCGTTTATAATAATAAAGGGCTAATTGGGCTTTAGGCAGATTAAAATTGTGGTATCTTAAAGAATAATATTGTCAAACAGATTTGTTATTCTTGTCTTTCAATAAGCCCCTAAAAAGACGACTTTAGTTATTCTTGAGTATCTTGTCTCCCGTTTATATGAACGTTTTTTTTGTTGGTCCCTTTGATATACCATAAACTTAGTTCTAAAAAATTAACTCTAAAGAAAATGATGACAATGACTATCGGGTTTATTGCACACGTGAGTTTATTTACTGCTATCAGTAAATAAATCAGAAATTCTTTTTACAGAACTTCTGGATTCCTCCTGCGTCGGTTTTTGCTGAGTCGAAATTGCTGAAGTTTCGCCAATCATCCTGTTGGCTTCTTCTGGATTGGCGAAACGTCAGCAATTTCGACTCAGCAAAAACCGACGCAGGAGGAATGCAGAAGTTTTGTAAAAAGTATTACAGTAGCCTGTGGAGGTTTCTTTGAAAAAAAAAAGAGAAATTATTATTAAATGTCTATGAAAAGCTTTCAAGTGATCACAGAGGAGAAAAAATTAGAAGTTCACAAAATGGTTGATCGAACGACAGACCCTTTGATTGTATCTATTACATCTAGAGAAGGCAGTTCCTCAATTCAGAAAGAAATAGTATTTTAACAACATATATTAACATAATTGCATCGTCATCCGGGGGATATATGTTATGGGATATATAAAAAAAAAACCAATGCAACAAAAATTGTAGGTTTTATTCTGATTTTTTTTCATTTAACTCAAAACTGACATGAATTTTATAAAACTGAAATTCCAATGCCAAAATGTTATATTCTCATAGATTATTGATTGTTGTCTATTATGAAGAGATTTTATTACTCCGCACACATTGCAAATGGAATATATCGCCAAAGTGCTGCACCAATTTCCTATTTATACACAGAACATAAAGTTTAAGTTTTTTTCAAAATATAGGCAGTCAATCTAAAAGAACTTCACGTCACCTACTCTTTTGGCAACACAAGAGTCACACCGGGTCATTTTTTTCAATATTCCACTGGTAAAAATTAAAATGAAATGTTTTTCAATCATAGCGGCAAAAAACTTAAATTAAAACTTAAGTTTCATCCACCCCAACCACAACAATTAACAGTTTCACTCTAATTAACACTAAGAGAAAAAAGTGTGACCAGACTTTACCATCGCGGGAAGAAAAAGGTTTAAAGGTGCATACAAATCAAATAGCAGTAAATAGAGATAAAGAGACACAGGCGGTGAGGCAGGCAGATAGGTATTACATATAGGTATTAAACGTTGGTTTACGGATATATTTATAGAGCGCAAAAAGTGGAAAAGAAAATGGACAACTTAACGATCAACAAAAACAATCTCCACGATGCGTCCGTCTGTGGATAACGAAAGGACTAAAGTCTAGGGTCACGAATTCAAGCTTCAGCAAAATAAGTTCGTTGAACCTGATGACTTCATTACTTAATTGTCGCTTATAATACTCATTGCTTGAAACATAAATTCACGTATCTTGTAACATTGACTCGAACGTATGACTAAAACGCTCGCAGCGACAATAAAAAGAAAAATTCTCGATTCCCACCAGCACCGCTATCCGCCACCGACCGCCGCGTACCGCACCGTTGGTTATCATCGACTTTCCAAAACTCAAAACCTACATTCGCCGCGTCGCATTCAGAAATGTGCATACGTAATGGTGTCGTTGCATTGTGCTGCATGTAGTAACCGGCACCATATTGTATGCATCTGTCCTCCTGCAGTATGCATGATGCAGGTGAACTGAATTTTTAACAAGCTCGTTTTTTCGCTGTCGACAACACATGCGATAGCCCGCAGTTCTGCGAATAGAGTTCCGACGTACGCGACGCATAACCAATAACGACGAGGCAAAAATAAAAAACCGTTCGTTGTTTAGCTCATTGAGACGTCTGCACAAACAATTCCGCCCTCTTCTTCGATTTCAATGAATTCTTTGGCGGTTTATCTAAATTCAAACACATTGAAAGTCAGAAAAAAGCTAAGTTCGTGTTTATTTTATTAATATTTTCATTAATACAAAAATGAAACCGACGACGATCATGTATCTCACTGATTATTCATTTTTGCATGGACTCTTACTAAGCATTCTAAAAAATACGGTAAGGTAATCACACCACTCTATAAAAAAACGATGAAACGATTATTTCAAATTACAGAGCTATAGCACTTCTATCTGTTTTTTCAAAAATCTTCGAAGGAGCACTGCATTCAAGATATTCAAATTTTTTTAAAAGTCGAGAACTTTTTCCAGCAAGCAAAATCGGTTTTCGAAAAAAAGCGACCAACACAGGATGCCATCCTCTCTTTATATAAGCATATTCTTGGCAAATTAGAGGAAAGGCAGCAAACAGCATGCGTTTTGTTCGATCTACAAAGACCATTTGACTTGGTGGATGTTGATATTTTAGTGGTCAAGCTTTGTTCACATGGTATTAGAGGCAACGCCTTAAATTGGTTATATGGTTGGTTTATAAATGATGCGTTTTCTTTTTTCTCCCATACAACTAAGATCGCCTTTTCAACACGGGATTTAAATAAGAGTTTAAGCGTACTAACTTCAATGAAAGCACAATCCAACAAAAAAGTGCTGTAAATTTCGTCGGACTTTATGTAGACTCGAGACTCTTCTGATTCCAACAGGTGGATCACATTCTCAAAAAACCTTGTTTATTGCTTGGTCATATGGAGGCCCCGCCAACAGATTTCTTTTCTCTTGTTAAGAATGTACTATTTCTCCTATATTTATTCCTATCTTAACTACGCCTTGATTTGTTGGGGATGTTCCCCAGGTGCGGAGCAAATCTTTAGGATGCAGAAACGCATTTTACGGACTATGCTGTTTAAGCCGTGGAATTTTTCATGTCGAAACTCCAATCTTTATATACGGAAT